ATAATAGAAATTATAAAAGCCTAAAAATAACTATATCTTTCTTTTTATTATAGGTCGGTATTAGTTTCAGATAATAAAAGTTTTAATAAAATCTATTTATATATCTTAATTCGAAATAATAAATTCTAAGAATATTATTTTAATAATTTTAAATTTATATTTATAAATATTAATCTATAATCCGGTATTTTAAAACTTTTATAAAACCGTTCTAATATATTATTAATATTTCTTTTTATTTTTAGAAAAAATAAATATATTATTAATATAGACTAAATAAAAGTTATCTAAATAATTTATTAAAATAATATTAATATATTACTAAAAGATTACTAGATTATTATAGAATTCAAATAATAGAACTACTAGTTTAAAAGATCTATATCTTATTTTAAAAGCTATTTATATTATAGAAGCTAGTTTTATATAAATTCGATTAAAAGTATATTAAATATCTAATTTAATAAATACTAATAATTCGGCTATTTAATTAAGTATTTTAATAATAAATAATAAGAAATAATAGGGTTTTTTTATTATAGTATTTAGCTATTAATAATTAATATAAAATTATAGGCTATTATTTTTCTGTTTAATAAATAAAACTAGTAATAAAAAGAAAAATTCGAATAATTTAATAAAATTCTTTTTTAGGTTTTTAATAAAATACTTTCTTATTTTTTCGAGTTTATTAGAACTTATCTTATAGAAATAGACTATTTTTATTAAAAGATCTAATTTATTAAAACGAAGCTTATAATTAAAGAATTAAAATTAAAAAAGCTTATTTACTACTTTCTTGAAAAATACTCTAGCTATATTATATAATTATATAGAAAAAAATATCTAGAGCTTTTAAAGTTTTTTAGAACTAAAAAATAATATATTACTAAAAGTATTAGATTTATTTATATTTAAGAAATATATTAGATTACTAGTTTAAATATAATATTTAATAGGCTATAGTATTAGTTATCTAATTATTATAGATAATAGTAAATATTTCTTTAGTTTATAATTCCATTTCTTAAATATATAATTAATCTTATTAATAATAACTAATCTAATTAAATTACTAGAATCTTTAGTATTTAATTAGAAAATAGCTATTTTAATAAAATAGCCGGAATAGTTTAATAGCTTATCTGTTTTAAAAATATTAAAATCTAGTTCTTTCTTTTTTATTTAGTATTCGGCTTTTCTTATAAAAGGATTTTATAGAAAAATAAGAAGTATATTTTTTTACTTTTTAAATCTAGTTTTACTAGTTCTTTTTAGAATTCTAGTTAAAGTATTTTCAAAATAGTTATTTTTTTAATATTTCTTATTAAAATATCGGATTTTCTAAATAAGATCTAGCTAATTTGCTTTATAGTTCTTTGGCTAATAGAATTAATTCTATTAATAGTCTAATAGGATATTATATTTTACTAGCTTTTTTCTTTCTAGAATTATATTATAAGAGCTAAGATTAGTAATAAATAAATATTATTAAGTTTAGAAATACTAATTAATAGCTAGATCTATAATAACTAGATATTAAATAGCTTTACTAGATTATTTATTAAAACCTTATAAGAGAACGAGGATTTTAAGTTTATATAAAAGTATTTATAATACTTTTATTAAGAAGTAAATATATTTTTAATTAATTAGAATATATATATTTATTCCGGTATTTATTAAATATTAGAAAATTATAGTTTTATTTTTCTAGCTTATTTTATAATTAATAAAAAATTAGTTTCTATTAATTAGCTAAATAAGATTTATAGGCCCTTAATATAATTCTTATTTTAAAAGAGCTATTTCTATATCTAGAGCTAGACTTTTCCCGATTTATTAATATTATATTTCTTATTAAATAATAAATAGAAATTAGTATTTTTATTATTTATTCTTAAATTATTAATTCTTTCTAAATAATTCTTTTTAATAAATATAACCTTACTAAAGTTAGAATAAATACTTTTTATAGCTATAATAATAAAAGCTCTCTAGCTAGTCTAATCTCTTTTTAAATTCTTAGTAAATTATCTTTTTTAATTATAAAAATACCGGCTACTAAAGTTAATCTATTAAATATAGGATTATTATAGCTTTTTGGATTCTAGTAGGCTTTCTAGTCTAGAGTAATATTTAATAATAAATGGTTTCTATTAGTTATTTTTCCTGAAATTACTAATTCTTAATTAAAAGAAGCCTATTTTTTTTATTCTATATACTATTTAATAAAGTTCCTAGATATATTAAACTTCTTATTATCTAAGCTCTTAAATAATTCGAGATTTGTTTTATTTATTAAATTATTATATTAATTATCTAATAATTTCTCTAGTTTTATTATTAAATAAATAAATTCTATCTAGAATATTAGAAATAGCTTATTTCTTTATCTTAAATACTAGTATATCTCTTTTACTTTCTGGTATTCTATCTCTTTATTTTTATTATAAGTTTATTAGAGAATCTTAAAGATTTATTTAATAATTGAAATTTATTTAACTAATTCAGGTTCTAGTTAATTATAAATAAAATTAAGAATATCTCTAGTAATTAGTTATATTATATAAATAGTTTTTAGTAATTTATTATCGAATTTAGAAGAGTTCTATATTAGTTTATTTCTTATATTAAATATCTAATTATTAATCTAGTAATTATTCTTATTTATAAATAGAATAGAATTCTTAATTCTAATAAGCTATAATTAATTACTATAGACTAAAAGTAGAAAAAAGCCTTAGTATTAGTTCCTAAATAGTTCTTCTAATAAAGATTTATAGTATTTCTAGATATTTATTTACTTGAATTTCTATTTTATTACTTCTTTTTATACTAGTTTTTCTTTTATATAAAATCGATTAGTAATTACTTCTAGCTTATTAACTTTCTTAATAAGTTAATTAATATATAAATAAAATTTCTAGTAATATTCCGCTTATTTATTAGCTATAAGGTAGTATTTATTAATAAGATTATCTTATATAAATAGTCTTTATTAGGCCTTATCTGTTTTTAGAATATTTGTATTAATTTTAAGTTTTAAGTTAGCTAGCTATTTTTTAATATTTTCTTTTAGAATAGTATTATAATAGCTTTTCTAATAATATAGGTTTATAATATTAAAGTTTGGCTTTTTTATTTTATTATACTAGGTTCTCTTATCTAATATATCTATAATAATAGTATTTAGTTCCGGGCTATTTATAGTAGCTTTAAAAGAGATATTAGCTATAAAAGTAAATATTAAATAAGTTCTTTTTATTTAATATTAGTAAACTATAATTAATTATTATCTTATCTAGTTTTAAATTAATAAACTAAAATTAATTATTATTATTTTTTGTTTTAAATTAGTAAACTATTACTAATTCTTTTTATATTAGAGAAAGGAGTTAGTTCTTTTATTTTTATTAGGATTAAGGAAATATTATTTATTCTAATTAAGAATTAGACTTTGAGATTAATTGAGTTATAGAGAATAATATCTTTTTTCTTTTATATTAATAAAGAACTAATTACTAGAAAAGAAATATTATTTATTCTAGTTAAGAGTCTGGCTCTAAGATTAACTAGATTATAAAAGATATTATATTTCTAGTTAAGCTCTCTAGTTCTTTATAATTTAAGGAGGTTATTAAATATTAAAAGTAGTATTCTATTTTTGCTTTTTAAGAATAAATATAAGTTCTTTACTAGTAGTATTATATTACCTCTATAGGCCAAATCAAATAAGCTTAGTATTATATAATAATAGAATTAATATAATAAATAAAGGCTTAAAGTTTAAAGAATCTTATATATTAGAAAATACTAAGCTATAAAATAAAATAGAAAGAATACCTTAATCTTTAGTATTATTTTACTCAAGTAGTTCCGGCTTAGTTTTATTTTATACCTGTTTCTAATATCCTATCCTTAATAGATTATACTCTTATATTAGCTATTATATTAAATTAATCTTATAAAAAGAAAAGAATTATATTACAAATATTTTTAAATAAAGTATTTAATATATTAGTAATAGAATTAGGGCCTAACTATTTATAGTAATTAAAATAGGCTTTTAAAAAGGCCTCTTTATAATAATAGCTATAATAAAGATAATTTTTATAAAAGAATAATTAAGAAACCTAAAATATAATATATTAATAAGAAATTCTTAAAAATTTCGAGAAATATTAAAGTTAAATTTAAGGAACTTATATTAATAAAAGTACTATTTTTGTAATATAAATAATATTTTATAGTATCTAAATACTAGATAATACTATTATTTCTTTTTAGGAATATATTTATCTTATATATTATATTAGTTTCTTATTTAGGAATTAAAAGAAATAAAAAGAAAGAAATAAAAAAGATTTAGTTTATTATAAATACTTAATAGAATTAGAATTAGTAAATAAAGGCATTATATTAGGTATTTAACTATTCTATTAAGTTTTCTAAATATTAATTCTATTATTATAAAGAGATATAAAATTAGATTCTCGTAATTTTTAAAGAAAATTAAAAATAAAGAAAAGATATTTTAGTTTTATATATTATTCTAATATTATAGAACAAGCTAGTTCTAGCCTTATATAACTAATTCGGAGAGAAATATAAAGTACTACGGCATTTTAATAGTTTTAAATGGCTCTTTTGGTTTATAAATCATAGTATTATTATAGTTATAATTTATAGAGTTATATATAGTGAGTTAATATTTTGATATTACTCGGGTTATACGTGATTTTCTCTCATTGGCTGGATTAAGCGAGCCGCGATTTTAGCGTGTTTTGGGACTGTCTTTCTTCAGGAAGAATGATTGTCTTGCATTTTCTAGGAAGAATGGAGCTCTGCTTACATAGGCTGAGTGCTCCGATACTTACGTAAAAGCACGTGCGATTCTAAGTCACGTGCTCGTGGGGCTCGCACGGGCCATACCCCATACACATTAGGCATGAACCTAACCATCCTCTTCATGTATCCAGTTCGGTTTCTGAACAATGTGCTATTCACTCATACCTTCATACACTCTAGAACTCCCATCTCGCTGGTCTTCCCAGGAACAACGCGCGTGATACGCAGCCCGGCATCAGCAGTCAAGCGCTCAAACATCTCAATGGTGCGCTCCTTTCCCGCAGTGATACACATAAACAAGTCCACGGCGGCCGCAAAGGGCGTCGGCGGGTTAGTCATGATCAACTCGACGATCAACAGTCGGCTATCAGGCGCCATGGCCTTGGCGATCAGCCGCAGTATGTTGAGCGCGTCGGCGTCGGCGTAATCGTGCAAGGTACGGCGGATATGGTAGACAAGGGCTCCTGGAGAGAGTGTGAGTCTCGGTTTCACGTCTGTCAAAATCCCGGAGAACTCACCTTTCACCGGCTCCTCCTTGAAAAAGTCGATCGGCACCTTCTTCAACGCCTTGATCTCCTCCTCCTGCCGCGTCATGGCCAGCACGTGCGGCAAATCCTGGAGCACACACCGCTCGGGCGGTAAACTGGGCGTGTTCCGCAAGATCGACAGCAAAACTTCGCCATCGCTGCCGCCGACATCGACGAGCAGTGGTCGACTCTTGTCCTCGATGGGGTGGTCAACGATCCAGGAGAAATCGTATGGTCCCGGCATTGGATAGAATCTTGAACTGACGCGCATGGACTTTGCGAACCCTTCCACCTCGTCCGGATCCTCCTGCATGATCTCCCAGATGGTCTTATCGGGCTGCCCCCGCGAAAATGTCCACGGGCTGCCGCGCTGCTGGGTCGGTTCGATCCGGCCGTAGCGCTCGAAGTATTTGGGGAAGACCATTGCCGCCGAGACTTGGCTGGGGAGGTGGATGAGCTTGGGAAGAGCAAGAGGGTGAAGAGGAAAGGGGGCTCACTGGGAAACCACGTCCAAAACCCCCTTCAGCGTCGGGTTATCGATCAGGACCACCGAGTTGGGCGTGTTGACTACCTGATCGGTCCCAACCTGTTTGAGGAAGCCCGCCGCGACGAGCGTCCACGCGAGGCGTCCTGCGATGCGCAAGTCAACTTCGAGCCCAGACACATCCCCAGTCCAATATATATACTCACTAAGAAGCCCGACCTCAGCCCCCAACTGCTCGGCGAGCTTGGCGTACGAGATCGGCGTGACGCAGTCGCGCGGGATGCGTTCGAGCGCGCCCCAGTGGAGGAAGACGCGCAGGACGCCCATGGCCGCGGGAATAAGCATCAGGTCCAAGAAGCGGTCCTTGGGCGTCATTAGGCTGCGCAGTGCCGCGATACCTGCGTTTGCCACGATTGAGGCGGTGCCCAGGTTCTCCTTCTTTGTGCCGTTGCTATTGTTCTTTTGGCGGAGGCGTGTGGCTGCTTGGGTGAGCTCCGCTGCGAGAGCATCGAGTTGGTCGGGTGATAGGGCGGAGGATGATATTGGCCCGGGCATGGTGATGAGCAGGTTCTAACTTGGTAATTCCGTGAGTCTGTATTGATGGCGTTGTGGTGAGGACAAGTTGGTTGATCGTCTCTGATATACCTAACCGAGGGCTTGTCGTCTGTCTGCCTTTAAAGTGTTGATAGATACGCAAAAGGTGTACCTAATGTTAGATCCCCTATATCGTCCCATCAATGTTCCGATAAACATGCTCGAGTCTCGTTATCCCTGTCAAGGCACTTGAATCCCAAGTATACCTGAAGTCGGGAATCCGATCGGGAATCCGAGCTAGTAATGTATGAGAAGTACTAACTCTAACCACCATATTTGTTATATATTTGGTAAGCCTATCCTGTCTTGTTACACGCGGCGTGGCGACTGCTATTTGACGGTCAGAATTATTCAGGATCAGGCTGCATGATCCTTCAGTTTACTATGCCGTAGTGGTTAGTACTATGCCGTAGTGGTTAGTACTGTGCCGTAGTGGTTAGTACTATGCCGTAGTGGTTAGTACTGTGCCGTAGTGGTTAGTACTGTGCCGTAGTGGTTAGTACTATGCCGTAGTGGTTAGTACTGTGCCGTAGTGGTTAGTACTGTGCCGTAGTGGTTAGCACTGTGCCCTAGTGGTTAGCACTGTGCCCTAGTGGTTAAGGTCTGACATATTGACGGCCAGGGTCGTTATACAAGGTTGTAGCACGTCTTATAAGGTGACATCTACTAGATATCGTTTGGACTTCAGAACTACATAAACACAACCATCACCTCGGCTAAGAAGCACAACATGAATCACGGCAACAGCCTAGACGTCCAAGACCAACTGCCGGCTTGCTACAGATGCCATGCCTCCAAGGTCCGCTGTCAGAGGGCGCCCGGCCAGGTGCGGTGCCGGCGTTGCACCCGCGCAGCATATTCTGACTGCCATCCGCGGCCCTCTCGCCGCGGACGTATCGGCCAGCAGCAGACGCGAGGGCCGAGCGGGATATCAACGACACAAAAAGAGGTTGAAGAGGACAGCCTGCCCGCAGTGTCCAGCAACATGCCTACTGAACCGGGCCACGAGCTGTATGAGCAAAGGCATGGCATTGACGCCGACCCATCCTACGCGCTCCTGGACCTTATTGCGGGATCCATGGCCCCTGGCGGGGATGACCTTTCCGATTTGTTATGGACCCCGCTTGTCAGCGACTTTGATCCCGACTCGCTACACGTGTCTCTAGCCCCCACTCCAAGCCAGCTGAGCGCGTCCAGCAACGCTATGAGCCTTAGCCTCTCGGAACCGCTTCCGGACAGCGTCACAGCCTCATCGGCATCCAGCAGCCGAAACAAGGCGCGCAATAGGGGGGGGTGGCGGCAGCGAGAGACGGGAATCACGTGATGACTCCCGTCCGGAATTGTCCAGACTATCCTCAGCCTCGTACATGCAGGCCCTTACAGGCCTCCACGCACAAATGCTCTCACAGCAAGACGGCATGTTGGAATGCATCCGCCAGTTCCTTGCGGCGCCGACAAGACACTCATACGGCCGCCCACCCACCGCCACCGGCGAGCGCAGCAGGAGGACCAGCATCAGCAGCGACACGGCGTCCGCCCCCATCTCTGAAGGTCCCGTCGAAGCCGCCCTGCGTCTCGGACTCGCCCTCCGCTCCCTCCTCCGCCCCCACCAGACTTGCGAGCGCGACATGCCTACCGCCCTCTTCCTCCTCAGCACCGTCCTCCGTCTGGCCTCACTGCTCCACGACCTCCTGGCCCGGCTGCAGGCTATGCTCGCCCAGGTAACCAACAAGAACGCGCTGTGCGCGTTTGTCTTCCCGGCTGTCCGGCTCGGGTCACTGCTGCTTGATGAGTGGGACGACGACCGTCTTAGGCCGCTGCAGATGCACTCCATTGCCATGGCGCTGAGCACGACAGAGGGGTTGATCGACGAGGTGATTCAGCTCACGGAAAGATCACTGCCTGATCACATCAACGATGCGTCCGGGGCGGTGGATGATTGGGAAGGGAATACGAAGGATGAATTTGGACTGCGGGCCTTGACGCGGGGGCTGGTGGCGAAGCAGGAGGCGGTGGTGGAGAGTATTTCGGGACTGAGGGACATGCTGTGTTTTGCTCATGCAGGTCAGGAATGTGTTTCAATTTCACCATGAACCTAAGGTAAAATAAAAATCAAAAGTGTTGCGCTCTGCCTAATTGTCACGCCTACTACCACCCTTTGACCTCGACAGAATGACACCTGTTTTTTCAGCCAAAACAAGACCAAATTCTTTACAGATGACTACCCGGAGGGCTGCGTTAAGGTAGTCAGTTTAGATTTGTGCGTCCCTCTACGAGGGTCACGGTGTCAGCCTCGTCCCTCCCTGTACGTTCCTCCGGCCTCATCCAGCCCTGCTTCGTCACATGGTCCTGATTGAGCGAAAACTCGTGCATCGGTATCTGCAGCACAAAGTTCACAGCCGCAAGACCTGCAAGCGCGCCAAACAGGGCCCGGAATCCCGTGACAAGCGCGCTCCTCAAGGTGTCGACCAGCGCCGGGCTCAGCGCCGCCCGCGCCGCCTCCGTGTTGAGCAGCTCGACCACCTCGACGGCGCTGAGCCCCAGATACGCCGAGGGCACGTGATGATCAGATTGGCCCAGCTGCGTCCGCAGCACGTTGTCGAGGATGGGGTTGCCCATGGCCACACCGACGGTCTTGCCAAAGGAGCGAAAGAAGAGTACCAGCGTGGTCGACATGGCCACGTGGTCCTGCGGCACCGACGCCTGCAGGGCAATGCTGATGGCTGGCAGGAGCATGCCGGTCCCGACGGCCGAGGCGAGGTTAATAAAGACCCAGCCGGCAACGGGGGTATTAATGTCTTGTACTATTAGTACCCCTAGGCCAATAACCGCGACGGCCCAGCCGGATCGCAGGGCCCAGCGGTACCGGCCCGTCTTCGCCATGCCAATGCCCGTGCCGACGGCGCAGGGTATGGCGGCCAGGGTGGTGGGAAGGGTGGCCGCGCCGGCGACGAGGGAGGAGTAGCCCTTTACGCCCAGGAAGTACTCGGGCACGTAGTAGACGATGCTGAAGAGAATGAGACCGTTGCTGAAGCTGCCGAAGAGGAGGATGGCCACGGATCTGCTGTTGGCAAAGATCTGGCGCGGGACAAAAGGTCGTGGCGCGAGGTATCGCTGGTGTAGCGCCACGCAGACCAGGCCGGCCGCACCCAGCAGCAGCGGCACCAGCGTTTGCCAGCTGCCCCAGGGGAACTGCAGGCCGCCCCACGTCACGGGGACAAGAAAGGTGGTAAAAACCGCGATGAACAGGGCCGAACCAAGCCAGTCCAGCTCGCGCAGCTGGTCGACCATCCTCGCCTGCTGGCCCTGCAGCCGGAGGAAGAAAGCCAGCCCGACAGCACTGACGACACAAATCGGCAAGTTCAGCCAGAAGATCCACGGCCAGTTCCCCGTCACCGCACACGCCCCGCCAAGAATCGGCCCAGTCACGCTCCCCAGCGCCGTCAGGGCGTTCAGCATGGCCACAAACTTCGGTCGGGCCCGGAGCGGCACCAAATCGGTGATGACCACATAGGTGAGGCCAAGAATGCCACCTCCACCAACACCCTGGACGGTTCGGCCCGCGATCAGGACAGAGTACGTCCTCGCCCGGGCGCAGACGATGGAGCCGGCCGCGAGAAAGGCGGTGCAGGCGAACAGGCAGGGCCGGCGGCCCAAGGCGTCGCTGAGGGAGCACCAGAGCAGCAGAGTGCCCGTGTTGGCCAGCAGGTACGAGGTCCCGGCCCAAAAGGCCTCGATGTCGCCGCCGCCAATGTCTTGAGTGATGGTCTGTACGTGTTTTGTTAAGAGTTCTCGTCATCTCGTTACTTGGAGCAGCGCAACAAGGCGGAAGCACGTACCGGGAGGGCCAGTGCAAGCGTCGCGCTGTCCAGCGCGGCCGTGAGGTTTATAATGGCCAGGCTCCAAAAGGCTAGCCAGAATTGGACCCCAAGCTTTGGCTTCTTGGCCAGAGCCGGAGCCGGAGCCGGAGCCACGGGCGTTGGACCCTCAGGCTCACCCATGTTTGGTCCTTTGTCCGGATGGTATCTGTATTGTCGGTGTTGGGTCATTGCGAGAGACGTGCAGCCTTTACGGATTCCTCAGCCAGGCCCGTGGGGGACACATAAATTTATGTACCCCACGGGCCAGGTCGCATCTCGGGATTCCACTGCTCCGAGGTGCGTGCCAAACCTAATCATTACATGGACGTGAATTAGTGGGTGATATTAGGCTATTATTAGTCCAAGACAGGGGTGTCTTATTGCAATCGGCAGTTTGCTTTCTTTCGTTTCCATTAGATCCATGTCGGGTCTCGGATGACCGATCCACGAATCACCATGGATGGCTCGGGTTTCCGTCCTCATTTGAGAGACAAAGGACTTTGGTAAACTGCAGTCTGAGGAGAGTTCAATACCTTCACAATGGGCTTCACTGATCTACTCTCGGACGCTGGTCTTGCCGGTATGTAGTGGTATGTGATGCATTTGCGGAGCACCGCCTAACCGGACGCAGTTCTCAACAGCTGGTTGACCACTCGCTCCTACATCGTCGGGTATGTTCCAGTCTGCTTTCTGTCTTTCTCCCCAATCCCCAAGCTCAACAACATAATGATACAAATTGGTCCGTGTTTCCTAGCAGCCTCAAGACCTGCAGATGACGACTCAACAAGCACTTTGTTGCATTTCTGAACCCTTTTCCTTGCGCTTTGCTTCGGCCTCCCACTGACTCATCGCGTCGATAGCTTCTCGCCGTCCCAGGCCGATGTGGCCGTCTTCAAGGCCCTGAGCGCTGCCCCTGAGGCTGCCAAGTACCCGCACGCTGCGCGTTGGTACAAGCACATCGCTAGCTACGATGACGACTTCGCAACGCTTCCCGGTGATGCGGCTAAGCCTTACACCGTCTACGGTCCTGACGTCGTCGCTGCCACTCTGAACCCTGCCAAGGCCCCGGCTGCTGAGGAGGACGACGACGATGTCGACCTGTTCGGCAGCGACGAGGAGGAGGATGCTGAGGCCGCCCGCGTCCGCGAGGAGCGTCTGGCTGAGTACCGCAAGAAGAAGGAGGCCAAGCCCAAGGTCGCCGCGAAGTCTGTAGTCATATTGGACGTCAAGCCCTGGGGTACGTTGAGGCTCGACATGCATTTTGGTTGAATTTTCTCGCTAACAATGACTCCCCAGACGACGAGACCGACATGGCTGCCCTGGAGGCCGCCGTGCGCGGCATCGAGAAGGATGGTCTGGTGTGGGGTACTTCCAAGTTGGTGCCCATTGGTTTCGGTATCAAGAAGCTGCAGATCAACCTCGTCATCGAGGACGAGAAGATCAGCTTGTCCGAGCTCGAGGAGGAGATCCAGGAGTTCGAGGACTACGTCCAGTCGACGGATGTCGATGCCATGCAGAAGCTTTAAGCTCCTGGGGAGGGGCTTTGATGATGAGTTCATGCTTTTATGCTAGAAATGCGAATGAGGCCTGAGAGCGCGTAGACCGCTCTAATAACTATGGGCCCGCCCTTGGACAGGCACTTGACCTTGCCTCTGGCATAGATAAAAAAAGAAATCAGCATGAAAAGACGACTCTGCCGTTTGTATACTCTAGTGCTATGCGATGTAGCAAATTTTTTGGTATTATGGTAGTACCATATAGCTGTCAGCCGCCAACATGTAGCTACCTCCCCCTCTACCTATCAGGTCGGTAGTTTGTTATATGCTTCCCGATGGGTAGGGAGGTTAGGAATCGCCCAATCAGCCACGCCCAAACCCACAAAGGGTAGGCACGGTTCGACGCGTCCAACAGCCCAACGCCAAACCATCGATTCATCGCTTTATAAACACCACGAAGAGCGTCAATTCACCGTAGTCGCAAACCTGCCGTTCCACGTGGTTGAGCGAGGTAGAGTTTTTTTTAACACCATGTATGGGGACACAGGCACGAAACTGGTTTGTCATAGGTCCAACATGCAAAGAGGACACAGAACTTGACGCATCTGCCGGCGTATCAGACCGAGATGGTACGTGCCGTCTCGCGGGAGGTTCGAGATCTGGACAAAGACGTCTCGAGAATGCTAGAGCCCTTCGGTGGCTCGTTCGATCCCGCTGCAGAACAAGCCACGGCATGTACGCTGCTGGTGAACCATCTCTCTATGCGCAGAAACAAGCGCTGCCTGCTTGCCTATTACCGCACTCGGACCGACAAGCTGGAGGAGCTCGTGTGGAACGGGTCGGATCTGGTAGACCTGGCTGGGCAACAGGCGGGGGGTGTCATTGCGGAGGGACCAGGCAGCGATGCGAGTACCTGTTACAGGGATCAATATAGGCTATATTACGCAACCATTGCCGCTTTATCCACACCTCACTCTCAGTCCACAGGGGCAAATCACTGTAATTGAAGCTATTCAGAGCTATTTTACTACTTTTTCTCCATTCCACCAGCTGCAATCACATCCAGACAGCGCTGGTGCATCGTCCTTATCCTCTCTCTTACCTCTGCATCTGTGACCGTCTCCCATACTCTCAAAACAGCTGCCCGGAGCCTTATTTTATTACGGTACACCGCAGGGTCTATCTCTTGTAGGAGATCCTTGAGACGGTCCCATATATCCTCAATTGGAGATAGATCTGGAGAGAACGGTGGCCAGAAAATTAGCTTTACATTCCAGCTTTCTAAGAGAGCAAGTATCTCCGCTGCCTTATGCCCTGAACCACCGTCTTATTGGAAGGATAGGCCTGGGTAGTTAAAGAGGTAATTGATAATCGCTGGTACAGTATGCTCGCAGTACGATTTCGTAGTAATTGTCCCCTACTCCTTCTCCCAGAACAAGCCTCTCCCTTTCCCATATTTCCCACTTATACAGCCCCAGAACATCCAGCCAATTAGTCTCTGCTACTTGTACTATATATGGTCTGGGTGGAAGAGCTTAGATAAACCAATCTTCCTTGTATACCATTATCTCTTATAATAGCCTGGCTGTACCCAAGTCTCATTACTCTAGCAGATCTCGTCCCACTGATCGTCTGTCCAGGAGAGGTGCTCTTATACCCACTCAAGCCGGAGCCTTTGATTCTTAGGAGAGATTGGGGGTGTTCGTCTTCTTATATCCCGGCAATAACCCTCCTTCTTGAAGGCCGTACGAATAGCGTATTCCCTACAGTTCTAGCCGAGCCATTTCGGTAGCTCCTTCCTTGGAATATCGTATAAGAGGGAGTTGAAGGTAGCCCAGCTAAATAAGGTACTTGCGTTGAGGAATAGAGAGGAGTGGATAACGGCCATATCGTTTCTTTTGAGGTGTTGGGCGATACCGTAAGGCGTAATCAATCTGCTTACGAGTGAGCTTTGGGTTCTGGAGGAGAATATCAGCGACAGTCCAGCCAGTAGTATAGTAGAGAGTTTGTATGCGGAGATGATCATCTCTGGTCGACGGGTTTGAGTATGTTTTTGGTATAGGAATAAAGATGGATGATTCCATTGATGAGAAGCTTGGGGGGAGAGAGAGAGGACAGAGGAGAGTAGTCTTATAATGGCGTGAGAAACAGGAGACTCGCCGTAATTAGCTGTTTCGGCAGCTGTTCTAATTGGTGGGACCACCCTGTAATTCTAGCTGGTTTGCCGGTGGAAACCCTGTAATCAGGCACTAATTGAAGTAATCAGGTGTCAGTTAAACTTTAAAACCCCACGTAGGTAGTACTAGCAGCCTCAGTCCCCAAGAGAAAGACTACGTGCGGCAGTATGGAGATCTGCTAGCCGCATACAAGGGCCAATGGACCGACATCGATTTGACGTAGCAGTTGAATCGGTCGCGCATGGGGCGGTCCTCCCTGACCCGACACGTGACGAAGTGAAATTCGCCAATTCGACCTTCTACTTCCATCCGGTTACCCGGCCAAGAGTTTCGCATGGCTCTGTCGCGCTACTGCTCGGTATGTTTCTCCGCGGCCTCGTTAGCGGCATCGGGGGTGAAGTAGGCGCCCTTGCGGTCCGTGTGGTGCTCGAAGTCTTTGCGGAGGACGAGGTAGATAACCTTGGGAGGCGTGGTCGGGGTGTGCATGGCGGCTAGAGGCATGATGGAGTGCCGTAGGTAACGCTAATGGTGCAATTTGTGGAGAAAAGCTCGAGAAGGGTATATATGGTGAAAGATCTTGAGGAAGAGATTTGAGATTTCGACACCGGATTTATACACGCAGTAGAGACATTATGCACAGAACTTTTGCTTTCCCGTTCAAACGGAAAGGACAAACGCGCGATGCATTTCGTTTGCGCTCGCGGGGAGATACGAAACGCGTGAAGCGGGCCCGATATTGACGAACGGGTATTCCCTACAAGGGATTTTAAACGTTAATTGGCACCTGATTACGTCTAAAAGCACCTGTTTACAGGCCTCCGGGGGCCTTCCCTCGGCGAAGCAGCTAGAATTACAGGGTGGTCCCACCTAATTAGATAGCTAATTTAATACCTGATTATAGTAAGTCTCCTATTTCCCACGCTGCTATAAAGGCTCTCTCTTTCTATTCCTTACTCAGTAATGGAATTATCAATTTTTATCCCAATACCAAAGACACCAAACAATGATCCAACAAGCAGAGATAATCATCTTAAGATCCAGACCCTTTACTACACAGCCGGCTAGACAATAAGTGATATTCTCCTCCAGAACCCTAGGCTCTCTCGCCGGCAAGTCGATTACGCTCTATAGTTCCTCAAAAACAATGGTATAAACGCCACTCACTTCTCAATACTCCTTAACAAAAGCACCTTATTAACTAGGCTACCTTTAATTCCCTCTTATGCGATATTCCAAGGAAGGAGCTACCGAAATGGCTCGGCTAGAACTATAGAAAGTATACTATTCATACGGCATTCAAGAAGGAGGGATATATACGAGGTATAAGACAAAGGAGGCCCCCGATCTCTTTAGCAAACCAGGTACTTAGGATTACCTAGGTATAAAAATACTTCTTCTAGACCGACGAGTAGTGGGATAAGATCTACTAAAATAACGAGAGCTGGATATAGCCTGGTGTGACGGCTGGCGTAAGGGCATGATCTGCCAAGGACAGGATATCGGAAACAGGCACAAAACGAAGCTAAGCCGGAATTGCTTGGGCGGAATAATACTAAAGGTCGAGGCATCCTCCCTACTTTGTTCCATAGCTTAGTATTTTCCAATACATGAGATTCTTTAAACTTTGAGCCTTTGACCATTGCATTAATCCCGCCGTCACACCTGGATATTATAAAAGGCAATAGTATATAAGAAAAATCGGGCCTTCTAAGCTTTTCTACCCTAATTATATCTAGTATAAATAGCAGAAAAGAATTAGATAAATATTCTGGGACTATATAAGTAAGAAATATAAGAAATAGAAAGGTTTATTTTAAGGGAAAAAATAAGAAATAATTATAATAAAAATATATTACAAATATATTATTCTAGTATTTTTTAATGACCTTTTTAACTATTTAGAACTCTCTTATTAATAAAATAAAGAAGTAAAATATAATATTATAACTATATTTACTTTTCTTATAAGCTAGAGAATTATAATAATCTCCTAGCTATTATTTTCTCTAGATCTTTTTTTAATTAAAAACATTTAAAATCGCCTAAATAATATCTTATAAAAAATAAATCCTGAAATATATTAATAGTTAAGGCAATTTCATATAGCTATTTTAAAGGCCTAAAAAGTAATTATAGATTTAGAGATTAGAAAAAGAATAAGAATTATATATTAGTATTATTTAAATATAATTATAGCTAATAAAATAGAAATAAAATAGTAAAAAGAATTCAAATAATTTTATATAAGGAATTTGCTATTATAAAAAATATATAAAATAATAATAATAATAATATAATTAAAAGTATAGCTTTTTTTTAAATTTAAAGCTTCTTTTATATATAAGCAAATTACTAAAGATTTTTTATATTTATATAATTTTGAAAACTAAAATTATATAAATATTTTATTTTATATAAGCTTTATTTATAACTATATTTTAATTTATTATAATTTTTAATCTTTAATATATATCTAAAAACTATTTCTTTCTATTTAAAATAAATATTAAATATTATTCTAATTATATTAAAAAGCTTTCTATATTATTTTAAATAATAAAATATATTTTATATATTTTCTATATTATAAAAAAGCTCTAGCTTAGAGGCTATTAAAATATATAACTATAATAATAATAATTATTATTATTACTATTATAATTATTAAAGAATTAGCTTTTTTAAATTCTTATATGTTTTTTAAATAAGCTTTTTTCTTTTCGGATTTCTTTTCTTCTAATTAGTAAATATATATATATATATATAATACTATATATATTATAAGATATATTAGTTTAAAATAGAACTAAAAAATAAGATTTATTATTTCTATTTTCTATTATAATTATTTAAACTAGAGTAAATATATATAATAAATAGCTTTATTTATATAAATAAATAAGTTAAAAGATATAATAATAAAATTAGAATCTTATTAGCTATTTTATTATATAAAAACTATAATAAATATTATATAATTAGTATATATATAATATAATTATAATACTTTTTATAAAATAAAAATAAAAAAGCTTTATTTCTTATATTAAAAAATAATAATATAAATTCGGGAAATATTTTAGTCTATTTATCTAATCTTATATAATTAAAAGAAATAGTTATTACTTAATTCTATATTTAGATACTAATATATTAATATTATAATTATTAGTATTATTACTTTAGCTATTATATTAGTTTTATATAAAATAATATTAAGATTATTAATATATTTTCGAATCTATTATTTAAATTAGATATTATATTATTATAATTATTAAACTAAATTCTAGAAACTAATTCTATATATTAACTTTAATTTTAAATTATTTTTTAAATTAGAAAAAAATATATTATTATTTAGCTTTAGTATTTAAAGACTAATTATTCTAATTATAAATATATTATTATTTTTCTTAACTAAATTAATGCCTTATTAAATAATATTAATTTTATATCTTTTTTTCTTTTTATAATTAATAATAAACCTATTATAATTAATATATTTTCTTTATTTTTTTAGTTTATAATTTCGAATTTTAATATTAATATTACTAAAATAGCTTTAATATTAGAAAAGATTTCTAAATAATTTCTTTTATTTCCCGGATTCCTAATATTATTTATTCAATTTATATTTATTAATAAAATAACTAAAAAAAATAGAATTTTTATTTTAATATTTCTTATATTATATTCTATAAACTATACTAATTATAATAACTCTCGAATATAGAAAGTTATTTTATTTAAATATATCTAATATTTAATTTAGTTTATAAATAATAGGTTTAATTAATATTCTTATTAGAAGTTTTTTATTTTTAATCTAATTATATATTAGAAAACCAGGTTTTTATTAGAATTCTATATTTCTAGATTTTTATATTTTAAAAATCTTATAGAACTATTATTAATAAATAATATTATATTATTTCAAATTATATATTAGAAGTTCATTTTATTTAGAACTCGCTTATTCTAGAAATATAAAAGTAATAATTTATAGGTTTTAGTTTACTTTTTCTTATTTAAATTATTTCTTGTTTTTATAATTTTTAATATAATTAATATATAATAATATAACTTTTATTAATATTTTCTAGATTATTTTTTTATTTTCTTTAATAATAATTATAACGGCGGGATTAATATAATAGTTAAAGGCTCAAAGTTTAAAGAATTTTATATATTAGAAAATACTAAACTATAAAATAAAGTAGAGAGAATACTTTAACCTTTAGTATTATTTCATTTAAATAATTCCGGCTTAGCTTTATTTTATACCTGTTTCTAATATCTTATTCTTAGTAAATTATATCCTTATACTAGCCATTATAATAATACTCTAATAAAAAGATTTATCTAAAATAGGATTTAGAATAATTCTTATATTATAACTTATTATTTAATTTTTTTAATTTATAAATCTTTAAATAATATATTTTATAGTATTTTCTATAATTTATAAATATATAAAATTAACTAGAATAATAAGCTTATAATATTAGCTATAAATATAAATTATATTAAATACTAAATATATTCTTTTTTTAGTTTAAATATAAATATAAATTAGTTTATAGTATTTATTAATAAATTTCAAGTTTATTTTATTTATTCTTATTTCTATTATTTATAATTATTTAGAAAAACTAATATTTTATATATATATATATATATGTTTTTCTTTTAAAGTTTTTTTAATAAGTTCTAGAATTATTTATAATATTAATTATAAAAGCTAGCTATATTTTCTAGTTTAGAATTAGAATTTATTAAATTAGTTTTTCTTTATTATTATTATAAACTAAATAGTAAATATTAATATTTAATTATTTATTATATTATTTATAATTATTTTATATTAGAAAATATATTTCTAAAATTAAAAAGTTCTTTATTTTTTATATTAAGATTTAAGCTTAAATTTTTTTATATATTAATAATTATATTTCTATTTTATTTTATATATCTAAAATATTAAATAATAAAATAAATAATAAGCTAGCTAGCTAATTAGTTAACTAAAAATATATTAGTTTATAAATAGCTAATTAATTAAGTTTTGTTAATATTATAATTTTAAAGTTTTTTAAAAAAATACTAAAATAAGTATTTTTAAGAAAATATAATAAATTAATTATATAATAAATTAAAAACCTTTTTATTATTTTATATATTTTATATTTAATTCTTTAATTATTATTAAAATGAATTCTA